ACACAAGTAGATATTGTAATGACAATAAGAGTTTCTTGCTAGCAATCAACTTCACATAATCAGACCTGTTTACCCATAAATTTTCCTGTCAGTATTTTAAGCAATGCCTGTCAGTATTTTCAGACCACAGTCAGTATTTTCAGCACACAAATAGTAGATACTATCAATATACTATAATTATCATTATGTAGTATTACATGACATAATGACTATACAATATTGTGTAAATAACTCCTAGTTTGCAAAGATGCTGGTATTCAGTTAATTCTGTGTTTCAAGACACAAATATGCAGAAATTGAACACCACTGACTTAAACATCCTGTTCATATTATAGTGATAAAAACCACAAAAAAATACAACATAACCAAATTTATTCTGTTGTTTACCTCCGTTACTTTCTCTAGAAATTCTGTTTTCTCAGCTTCACACATATCCATAACATTGTAATTAAAGCCAATTCTCTATTTTACATGGTTAAGGACTTGATATAAAACATTATGACAGACATTGTTACCACCCATCCACTTAGAAAATAATAAATTTATCTAGATAGGTGAAGGCAATCTTATTTATCTGATAAAATCTAGTATCATCTTTGTCAATATTTACTAGAATGGAAATAAGGTTCACATAGAATCGCCTCAGCACATGTTTTTTGTTTTTGAAGTATGTTTTGATCACCGACTTCCTTTCTTTTCATCATTGACAAAATGTTTCTATTTCCATTCACTAATGATTTCAATTTTGTATGATTTTCCGATTCCACATGCCGTGAACAGTCATTCCTTCCACCATGTGCACAGGAAAAGTCTAAGTTGCAAACAGTGCAATGCACAAAATGTTCTCTTTTTGACGATGGTTTAAGGCATAGCCACAGAGTAGAATAAACTGGTAGAAAATAGTGCTTTCTGTGTTAGACTTTCCATTTTCATCATCAGTTTCGTGCTGAAACTTTCTTGTCGGCGGCATTTTCCTTTGTTTAAACAACCGGATGTTGAGAAATTCAACAAAAAAAAAGTGACGTGGCACAAAATGCGGACAGAAGAGACGATACAACGAAACGAAACGGGAAAAAAAACGGCTTAAAAAATTAATTTTAAAAAAGTAATAAATAAATGCAACCTCAAATCATATTTTCAGTTCAATGACCGTACGGATGGGCTTTATTCCGTACGGTCTGGTAAACAGGTCTGCATAATCCTTTTTCATCTCTACCTCCATCAGCTATGCTCAAATCAACACATTAAGTCCAACAAATAGAACTGTTGCCCTTCTCACTTCCCTGACCCCAAATCTGAATACTGTTTTATACTTCCTTATATATTATTAAATCTTTTTTAGGATTATTGTCTCTTTTTTCTGGAACATGTATAGCTTATTGGATGATATTTTAATGAAATTCTTCAAGCAACAGCATGATCATGTAGATGTTTTGCAATAAAAAGTATTTGCAATAAATTCCATCTGAGGTACTCATGTAAAATTAGTCTAGTTTTCTGATCAACTCCAATGAATCTAATATGAAACCCAGATACAATTCAAACATAGACAAAACAGTATTTAGATTTTACAACAAAACAATATTTCTATAATTGTGACTTTTATTAAGCAAGTCCATATTTTGTATTTTATGGGCCATTTCCATAAAACTTGTAGTCAAATATTAAGGGCTAGCAGGTCTGTGAATTATGCAACAATATTTTTGTCACTTAAATATGTACATCTGTTAAACAAGAAAATGATTATGATGTGCTTGGTGTTTTGCATAAGTGTGTCATGCAGTAATGTCATTTTCATCTGATTTTGCTAAGCGTTTTGCCTCAGTGTACCATATATTTCCATTTCCATATGTAACCAATAAAAAAGGTTCGGTGACCGATGTAAATCTAACAATCATATTACAATTACCAAATTGTATGGGTATGGACCCAAATGCTGGCATGGCCCACAGGGTTTTCTGTATCAGTGTCTGTTTCACTATTTTCTCTCTCCCCTGGGTTACTGTACTGTTTAATTGCCTGGTAAACTGTCATATTGTAAGGCAGGACTCTTTCTCCAATAAGGAACTCTAACCTATGTCGTGCTGTACCCTGGCTAATGAAAACAGCAGCCTGGCAAAAAATTAAAGTGTTTTTATCAGCAGAAAAAGAACTTTGACATAATTCAATGTTTCTCTTGCAACAATGTTATCAACTAGCCATTCTTTGTGACAAAATTATTTGCTATAATAAAAAGATGCTATTTTCTTTGCTTTAGTAAATAAAAATTAACACACATGTTCATAAATATTAGCGATTCCCTAATATTAGCAATTCCTATGATAAAGAACTATTTTAAAAAAATGTATACAATTTTTTTTTTAATTGATTCAGTACTCACATGCAGATATTAAATCGATGTACTCTGGAGATTCCTTTTACTTTTGTCTTAACTGGGTGCAGGAAACACATTTTGAGGATTGGCTTTGATAGCATTCAAATATATGTTTCCAAGAGATTTTTTTTACTAAACTGGAAGCTTAGGTGTAAAAAAGACTTGTTTTGATTGACTAATTCACCCGTGCACATGAAGAAAGGTGAAAATTGGACTTTTGTTTATTGGACCCATGATTTTCTTGCCTTAATTCTGAATCTCAAACTTTTTCTGCAAAGGCTTGTTTGTCCATATTCAGTTTTAACATATCTGCTTTACAGTTTTAACATATCTGCTTTAGATTTAAGCCAAGTCTAATAAAATCAAGACAAAAACTCTCATTCCTAAACAGGTAATTTTCAGCCTAAAATAATATTGGATCTAAAAATTATGTTTTTGTTCCTGTTTTTGTTCCTGCTGCATTTTTTTTATACCAGCAGAAAGTCTACATAATTTGGTAACATTTTAGGACTTCTTCCTTCTTTTTTTTCTGTAATGCCACTGGCTTTGGTCCACCATAAATGAAGCTGACATTATCAAGCTTGGAAGTAGGGTACTAATAGATGGATGTGTAATGAATTAAGAAAACAGTATTAAAACAGGCAATACAAGTGTACCCCAATATATAACATATCTTTACTTTTACATATATAACATAAATAAATTGTACTTTATAATTTTCAAAACACTTTTATACAAAATCTAAGTATGACTGACAACAAAGACACCAGCATCCTCAAGAGTCTGATACCTCTCTCTCACTGATTTCAAATGTAGGTACAAAACGATGTGCAGCATAACTGCAAATGAAATTACCAATTAATTATCCATCTAAGGTAGGACAATATCCACACTGTAAACTTCAGAGAGATAAAACCACTTACCATGGTGTCATCAACATCTTCATCTGAATTATCATCATCACTGGCATCTTCATCTCCTTCCTGTTGTAAAAATGAAAACCAAAGAATTTATGAGACTACACATAAAAAAATTGTAAAATCTTTCAGAGAATCATCAAACCATATAGTTGTATTTGAGAACAACAACTAGAAATAAAGATGAACATAAGTTTTGTATCAAAAATCTAAAAGTATATCCCAATCCTCTAATAGTAAGATTTTTAATAGATCTTGATTTAAAGCATTCTGAAGTTTTAAAAGTTATCAACCAAAAATTTTATAATTACCATCCTGTGGCCATTTGGAGAGTCAATTTGTGTACAAGATTTTTCCTGATGAACAGAGACACAGACTATATGTTTGAAATGTGCTAAAATAACCTGCACAACAGGACCAGTCACCTGGAAATGTTAAATGGTCTTAAACATAATCAGCTGGTCCTACATTGCATCACATAAGACAAAATGTACTCAGTAACTCAATGCTAATTCTGGCAGATATGAGTGTCAGCCCTTAGTAAACTTCTTTTTATAATGCAACATGGACTGTTAAGGAATCATTGCCCTGCAATATATATATATATATATATATATATATATATATATATATATATATATATATATATATATATATATATATATAATGTCAAATTTATTAAATTCAGCATAAAATGTCCACTATATACTAACCAGGCCAATGATGCTTACTGTCCAGCTGATCTAGATCCATACATAACTCATCTATAGGCCAGACATTGTAACCATTATTGAACAGTCTAAATTGTAGTCTGAATAAGAATCAGGATTTGTTATCAATAGCAGTATCAGAACTATACTATCATTGATGACAGTATAAGAACAAGACAGAGCCTCCAAAGACCAGATATTCAATGTACAGCTGCTTATGAAATTTTGTCGGTGAAAGAGTTCAATCAGTGGACTGCTGGAAATGTAACTGAACCAAATGCATCAGAGATATACAGAGCTCAACAGTTTTAGCTTCTTCAGCAAAGCATCATGAATGATATCTCTGTAGCCGACTGAATTCTGACATTAGCATCTTAAAAAGCAGATAAATTTATTTATTTGACATACCATCTGCATCATCTACTGTTCTTTAAAACTAATTATGATTTTTACCTAAAATCTGAGACCTAATTTGTCTAATGAGTAGACCATGACTGTTTACCTGTGGCAAGTGATGACTCTTACAACTATTTAATCCTGTATCAAAAATGAACTCTTTCAGAATTCCTGAGCCAACATGGCTGGCTACATGCATGCAACCTTTTTTAGAATATACTAAATGAGTAGAGTTACTCTGTATGTTGAAACAAGTGGTGTTGAAATCATTCATGTGCAAAAAACATTCAGTTACTTTAGCTACAATCTGAGAGGCTCAAATGAAAATAACTGTGCTAGAGTTTCGGATATCATGTGCAATACCAAGCTGAATGAAATATTACAGCACTGTCATGGTTTAGCACGCATCCATCTTCTATATTCCTAGAGAATTCTGCAATCGAAGCATAGTTTTCACTTCTCAGTGTTGTATTTCTTTTTGAACATTTCTCTGTTTCCTTGACTGTGTTTGGAATTTTTGGCCTCTTGTGGCTTACAAGCATCCAAATGCCTCCAAATGCTGATGTTGTGAACTAAAAGCAACACGTTTCATGATCAGAAAACGGCTCCTATGGCCTAGTGGTTAGTGTGTCTGCCTTGGATGCAGGAGGTCGTGGGTTCAATCTCCGGTTGAGTCATACCAAAGACATTACAAAAATAGTACTAACAGCTGCCTCACTTAAGGCTCAGCATTAAGAGGTTAGTGTTAGGACTGGTTGGCCTGGTGTCAGGATGTGACTGGGTGGGACATCATGCTACATGTCTGTGGTATGACACCCCAGTGCTGGACATCACTATAAACTGTCACACTGCAGACATCGTAGCGATATGACTGAAAAATTGTTAAAGCTACGCTGAAAATCATAATCATATCAGAATTTGCAAAATGCATAACAATTTTTATTTGGTGTAACAAGCATCAAGTGAAGGTCAGACTGACACTATTTTCATCTAACACCAATTAGACATCATAAGGCTTTCTGTGAAAACATGCAAATATGATCATTCATTTTGGAGAAGCAATGATAACATAATTTTAAAAATGGCCAGTGGTGGCCACAGTGGGTGCCTGAGCAGCAGCATTTTTGTTTAGGATCAACCAGACATCCTGAGAAGTTGTTTGGTAAACATCTTATGTACATAAGACCCTCCATTTAGAAAAAGTACTGATAACATGATTCTCAACAGTGGCAACTCCATGTTAACAGGCTTTTCTGTTCACAACGAGTAACTATGATAAGAATTTCAAGGCAGATGTTGTAGTGGCCACATTGGAAATAAAAACTGGAACCATTCTCATTTAGGACCAACCTGACACCATAAGAAGTCTTTCAGTGCAAACCCCATCATATGACCATCCATTCTTCAGGAATAGCAACATTTTCAAGATGGCTGCTATGGTGGCCATATTGGACATCAGATGAATACCATATCCATTTAGTATGAACTAGACATCATGAGAAATCTCAGTGAAAGTCCTAAAGTTCATATGACCATTCATTCAAGAGAAGTAGCAACAAAATTTTCAAGATGGTCACTGTGACAGCCATATTTGACATCAGGTTGGCAACATTTCCCTTTAGGACCTACTAGACACAACTTTTAAGTGAAAAACCCCATGTCAACATGACTTTCTGTTCAGGTGTAGTTGTAACAAAATTTTGAAGATGACTGCCTTTGTGGCCACAGTTGATGGCTAATTGGCACCATTTTCATTAAATACCAACTAGACCAGGGAATGAAGGTATACAAATTTTCATGCAATCCTCCTGTGGCTTAGCAAACCCCACAATTATGGAGTAGGGACCCAGGCCCAGATGGATCAAAAAATACCCAGCAATCCACATTTTTGTATTGGAAAGGGGCCCAATAATTTTGTTTTTTTTTTGCTACATAATTGCAAACCTTCATGTAGTTCAGGAGATGTATCAACATCAAACTGAAAACCATCTCATAAGCTCTTTTGGTCAAAGACTTTTAGTGCTCAAAACCGATATCCTAAATAAAATATACTAATGAAAAATGTTTTTTTATGAGCAAATTTTATCAACCATAAATATGAATATTTTGTCCCTGTTTGTTCTGAACTAGCTGAATTAAAATATATCCAATATTATCACTCTCATTTATGTACCTAACTGCTATTATTTTATCAATGTCTTGTATTAAAGTCAGTTTATTAAGTTACAAATATTGATATACATGTACTGTATGTCCACATGGAAAATTAGAAATAAACTAAGTTTTGTTCTGATGTAATATACAGGTATACTAACTCTGCAGAACCTAGCTTGGGGATCTGAGTCTGAGGTTTTAAATAGATCAAGGACTTTTCACAGAAAAAAAGATATTTCTTCCGTTTCTCAAATTCAAATATTTTTCATGCATGCACAGATCATGTAAAACATTTGATATCAGTTATTCTCTGAAGAGGTAATAATACAGGCACCTCAGAAAGTTACTTTCCTCAACACTCAAATTTCTAAGCAGTGTAGCTGTTACTCTTAAGCAGCTCATCACAAGTGAAGTCACACCTTTTTTAAGTCCATCTAACCCGGCATCAAAACAGTACATTTCAACTATTTTGTCCTAATCATGAGTAGCTACACCATAAGATGATATTTACACCAATGTATATCACATGTTTTTTGTGATAATAGGCATGATGTTCCACCTAAATTACATTAACAAGTTGCTGGCAATTAACTTGCTAAATTTCCCATATCGGCAACTTCTGACTCTTTGTTGTTTTTAAACACATCCCTATTTTTTTGTCAATGGTCATGCTCTTTTCTATACATGATGTTTCTTTTCCTTTGTAGTATGATTTTTCTTTGCAGGATTTTTGTCCTCTTCTGTGTATATGGTGGATATTGCTACCTGTGCATCTGTTATGTTACTTAATAGATTACATATTTTCTAAATACAGTATGGCATTTTTGGAAACATCACTCTTCCATTTTCTTTCATTCTTGTTTGTATTCTCTTCTGACACAGCTTTTTGTATATACATTATCATTTTCTTTAGTTTTGTAATTTGGGTTGCACTACTAGAAACCATAATTAACTAGATGACTTCATTCAGTGAAGAATTGCAAGATTTTGCCTTATGAATCTGAATGAATGATCTAGGATTGGAGTAAAGGGAAAGAATATATGTGTGAAAGTTTCTAAATATCCAAAATATTTTGGGGGAATATATTTACCAGAAAGGAATTTTTTTCAATAGACTAATAAGTCGAGAACAAACACTTCTCTACAAAGAAACTACCATGTTAAATGGCTGGCAGATGGCACAATGATATTTGTCAAAAAGAAAGAGTTAATACCACAAGTTTAGGGTATCCATAAAAAATGGAGAAACAAGTAAACAACCCATAGATCATGCACACAAGGACAAAAGCACAAAAGTAAAACATTTAAAATATAAATAAATTAAAAAAGATACAGAGTAGGCTCTTTTAAAAAGCATGACATTCACAGCTAAAACATAATCAATGACATATTCCAGGGCAAAAAACATGGACTCCATTTGTTTCCTCTTACAGAACACAGAAGGGAGCATTAGGCTTATTCAACATCCACAAACCCATGGAAAGGAGGAAACCAGGCTTTATACATGTATCAAACATACAGAGCATAACACATAAGTAACACACTTACATGTTTCAGTCTTCCATATCCCCTCATGACCAGGTAACGCTCTATGGCCTGGACCAGAGCTAAAGGGTCAATTTTGACTGGGCCTCCCTTCCACTGTCTAAGACTATTGCAGGATGGGTGTCTCTGTAAATTACACTGCAACGAAAAATGAAATTTAATAACAAAATGTTTCAATGCCAACACTCTTGTTCTCTCAAGCTATGGTCCTAGGTAAAACCTTGCATTCCAAAATGACAGGAGTAACCATCACAACTGCAATGTTTGTAGTTTTCTTTTTTCACAATAATAAACACAGGTTTTGAAAAACTATTTGTATCACTGACATGAAATGACATGCAAGTGTAAACTACATTCAAACTGATCTACAATAGTTAAAAAAATTACTTTATTTCAATAAATGCAACTTATTTCTATAATTTTCTGAGGTATAAAATGGGACATGTTTATTTGTACTAGAAAAGAAATTACTTAGTATCTTATTTTCCAATTAAACCTGTCAAGGATTTTATGACAACTCTATCCAAATCATAAATTTAAACATTTTATAATACATGGTAGAATAAACTCCTTCCCCCAAGGAATCCAGCATGGAATTGCTGAGGTCTGTTCCATTTAAACACATATTGTACCCAGGGAATGCAGTTTTTTTTTAAAACTATATGCCAGGGTACATTGATTTCAGAGTTGATATTAAAATGATAAGAAAATACTGACTTGCATCTATGGGAGAGTACCCCACATTAAAGGTGCCATTCCTGGGTTCTGGTCATGTTTCACTGGTATAGCCTTGAGTCCATCTAACAATAAATTTATGATCTAAAGTAAGAAAGCTTGTGTTTCATTTCTCATTCATACCTTGAGTTGATGTGTGTTGAAGAATTTGAGAGCATTAGATCCCCTGCCACTGGAAGTATTTCCACCTGGTAAGTCATGAACTTTGACTTGAAACTGAAATAAAAAAAACAACCGTAGTTTTGATGAAGATTGTCTGAAGTAAATGTATTTGTACAAGGTAGTCTGGAGTTTTCAGTAAGGAAAACTTCAGATAAAACATTCATGGTTTTCAGTAAGTTGCTTTGGTACACAGGTAGCTTGATTGTGACAGCAAGTAAATGCCAATGTCTGAAGTATAAGGAGTGTGAAATAATAGCATATAATTTTAATGTGACTTGGAAGGCAAAAGGGTAAATTCAGCCGACACCTCGAACATGTGGATAATGATATATATCTGTAAATGCAATCATGATTCTGGACAAATTCAGTGAAATTTTGTCACCCTGCCTACAATAGTGAGGTCATCATTTTTAATCTCAAAAGGCCATCAAATTTGTAAAGTGGAAGGAAAATGGAAAATACTTTTACAACTTTGACCATGAAGATAACATCTTGTAAATGTGGTATACAGCACACTCAGTTATGATGTTAATGTATACCAAGTTTCATTCCATAATCTTCAATAGCTATAAAGCTCTAGAATCAACAGGAAATAGCGATGCACAACTGAAAATACTGAACCATAACTATGACCTTAAAAACAACTATTCCCCCAAGTGTTATTCATTACACCTGGGAATGATGCATATAGTATGTAGACTCATCCCGTAATCTCAAATAGCTTTAAAATTATGCAGCAAATGTTAAATTGTGATGTAGAAATGAACATTAAACTGCAACTCTGACCTTGGATAGAACCCCCAATGACTTATGTAATAGCTTCTAATAATGATGACAAGTATTCCAGTTTCATTCTTTAATCTAAAAGTGTTGTGATGGACAGAGTGTTGTGATGGACAGAGTGACTGATAGAAATGCTGACACCTTATGCCCAACTTTTCTTAAAAATGCTGGGGAAAATACAATGTACTTTCATGGTGGAGTTAGTTATTGTGTGCTATACAGGAAATTCCAGCTGCTCAATAAAATCGAATTACACTCAATCCAGGAAGTGCAAAGGTTGTATTGATAATGAATACAA